TTTTTTTTGACTGTGAGTCCAGTACTGCTGCATTATGTGTACAGTTACGGGCCTGTCAGAGGATGGACTGGGGAAATCATAGAATCACTGAGGTTGGAAAAGACCTTTAAGGTCATCCAGTCCAACCATTAACCTACATTAACCTACACTACCATGTCCACCACTAAACCAACTAAGCGCAGAGTAAGAATTCATTTCATGTTTCCTGGCTTGGTGGCTGGATTATTTTTTTCATGAAAGTAAAACTAGAATAGAATCATTAAGATTCCAAGATCATCAGCCCAACCATCACCCCAACACCCCCACGCCCAGTAAACCATGTCCCCAAGTGCCACCTCTGCCCTTTTTTTGAATGCCTCCAGGGATGGGGACTCCACCACCTCTCTGGGCAGCCTGTTCCAGTGCTTATTCCCTGGCAGGAATAAAAAAAAAAAAACCCTCCGAAGCAGGAAGCCTGTGCTGAATGTTTTTCTCGGGCTGTGTAAGCTGCTTTTGGGACGTGCAGAAGGCAATGAGATTTGGTGAGGGGTGGGCTGTAGGCATGTCCCATACAGCACGGGAGAGTGCGAAGGGACGGTCAGCATCAGCTGGGACCAGCTGATCTTTGACTATGGGACTGTCAGGCAGATGTTGCAAACGTTTTTGTCTCTTTCTCAGCTAACGCCTTCAGTGTATTTTGCAGTGAAAGAGTACCGAAATGGGTCCACAAAGTTATTCGGCCGATAGCAGCAGAACTGGAATTCTATATGCCGCAACCCTTCACGGGGGAGATTCTGGGAATGTGCAGAGCATTGGGAATAAGTCTGGGAGATGGAGTCCTGCTTAACTTTGCCTATGAATCTACTGCGTAAGTGTCTGGTACTTACAGAATCTGGTAGAAACGGATGTAGAGAGTCGTTTTGGTTCAGCGTGGGAGAATGCACAAACAGGCAGGCGAAGGCGAAGACACGTGGCAGACGGTTTGCGCTGTTCTCGTACCGTTTCATGTGTTCAGCTGGAAGGTTTCCTTCTCATTAGGTGGTTTGCATCCTGAATTGAATGAGAAACGCAGAGCAGTATTTTTGTTAATAAAGGTAACGTGTAGCTGTAACGTTTTTGAGTATCTATATCTGTATAAACATATAAAACCATAAAACCAACTTTCTGCCAATATGGAAGGCCCATCCATTCAAAGCATTTGGGTTCATTTACGTTTGAAGATCAGGTAATGTACTCTTCTGTCATTTAAATTATCGTATTTCATCAAAAAGGAAAACAGAAGTATTAATTGCCATGTAATTATTTTAACCGTTCATCTGAGATCAAGTTGCTTCCAAACCATTTTCTGGATGAGTGTTCACAATGACTGGAAAACGTAATTATTTTTTGATTTGCACAGTGGAAAACGGATGTAGTATTTTTATGACAGCAGACAAAACCTCAGTGGAAAAAAGATTCAGTTTCATTGTCTTTTTTTTTTTGCCCTAGAAGCATGTGCAGGAGAATAATAAAACACTTGGTGTTGCCTGCGAGGATCCTAAAAATATGTGTACATGTAGGTTTTAATAACAAACAGGTGCATACAGCCACTTGTATGCATTTTGACTATTATTTTTCTTAATGTGTGGTATTCAGTTAAAGTGACCTTTCTTTTAAAAAGGATTAATATTGGATAAGAGAGTCATTTAAATGTTGGTTTTCTTAGTATTTCACAGAGGATGCTTCTCATTCTTAGCCCTAGCAAGGCCCATGAAATTTGAAGTTTCTCAGCTCTAATGATACTAAAGAAAAAACATCAACTGGGAAAAAATGACTTGTCTGCAAATTTTTTTACCTTTACAGTTTTGAAAGTTAATGCTATGCATCACTGGAATGACAAACTCATAAGTCTGGAGAAAAGAAATTTTGAATTCCCTGTGAAATCAATGTTCTTCATAAAAAAGCCTTTTTTAATGAAACTGAAACTGTTATTAAAAAAGGAATTTCAGCACACTTGCCATTCTAGAGAAGAGGTTAGACTGTTACTGAAATGGCTGATACTTTAACAACTGATGTTTTCAGTTTGAAAGGACTTTGTTCGACCTTTTAATTTAGCTGTGATGAAAAATATAAACAGGGTCCAAATTGAAGTCAAATAATCCGTAATTGTCAAAATGAAATCCAGAAAGTTTCAGACTGATACTTCGTGGACTTTTTTAGATGTCAGCTTTTCATCTTGATTTAGAGAAGTAGTAAAATGAGATTATGAAATTTTTCCCAAGTGCAAATACTGTTTTGTACCTGGTCTGTAATATCTGTCCTGATGCAGACAGTACTGCGGCTTTTGACTTTGAGCCGGGTGGGACCTGCTAAGTATTGTACAGTTATGTGTGTTAGATTCTGTGGGAAAGGGTTTTCCCTTATGGATATTGTGCATAAGTCATACAGGACATTGCAGTGATGTGTAGTTATGCAGAGCTTCACCAAAACCATTCTGTCCCCTTCTCCCCCCAGTTTGAAATGAAAACCTGTAAGAAATCTTAGCAAAAAGTATGGGATGAGACTATTCTCTTGGGTTGGGAAGCGTAAGTGTTAATGATATAATGCAAACTCCTATCTGTATGCTTACATTAGTAAGATAAACTCGGTTACTGCTTCTGAAATGTTGAGCTAGTTCAACTATAATATTGAAAGCGTTGTCATAACTTTGTCTTAAATCATTCTGTCTCCTTTTTGTTTTTGAAGGTTCTGTACTAGTATTGTCGCTCAGGATGACAAAGGAAACATTTACCATGGTCGGAACCTGGATTACGATTTTGTGGATATATTAAGCAAGATTACAATTGATGTGCAGTTCATAAAATGTGGGCAGGTATGATCTGTGGTTGACATGGCTGGGTGCTATTCCGTGAAGGAACGGGGTACGGTCATGCAGCTGAGTAGACGGTGGGATTTAGTGTAGGAATGTGGTTCCTGTCCCTAGTTTCTTGGATTATTAGAGCAGCACAGTCACTCTCTCTAGGAATGCGGGGTGAATGCTGTTTTTCCTTGCTTTCTGGACATCCAGTTTGTTGTGATAAACTGGAACAAGTAGAACGGCATAATCAAGTATATCAAGATTGTTATTTGGAAGGAGAAACCGAAAGAAGCAAATGTAAAGATATTAAAGAGGAGGAGACATACTAGAGAGTATAGAGGAGAGATCAATTTTGTCAGGGATTGATTGTAAGGCTTTTTTTCTAAGGCCTTGTTAATTTTTGGGGCCAATAAGTGTGTGTTAGATGAAAACTTCCAAAAATGACCCGGTTGTTATTGCAGTCCTTGTTAGTGTGATTTTCTTAATATTCATTAGTCTGTCTTACAAATGGAGAATTCTTTGTTTGTTTCTTGCTTGGGTACTCTGACTTGAGCAAAACTTCTGTAGCAGTCAATGATCATTAACAAATTAAATGCAGTGAATTTTGGTCCTCAGAGTCTTCTTATAATTTACTTTGCAAGTTTTACTGTAATTTAAGGCAAAGTGTTTTATAGCAACGTGTGTTTGAAAGTCACAGGAAAAAGTACAGGATGCTGCTTCAGAATGTTGCCTATATTGTAAGTAGTGTTCTGTTCCAGAATGCTGAAGTACTGCATGTTTCCTGGTTTCAGATAGCGTATCGAGGCACCACATTTCTTGGTTATGTAGGCTTATGGACTGGACAAAGTCCACATAAGTTCACGATCTCCGGTGATGAACGAGGTAAAATCAATCTGTTTTTGACACTTGATGTTATGTACGCTATTTCAGTTGATTGTTGCCTGCTCTGACCCTTCTCTCATGTTCTCCCAGAGGGAAAAATATGATTAAGGTTGCCAGAATGGAGCTGAAATTGGAAGACTTCCCTGGTCCTCAGGGGGTGAAAGCACACATGCTGACAATTACTGGCTGCTGCATAGGAGTAAGGCGGGTGTTTGTCAGCACAGTGTCATGTGAGCTTGAAAAGTGTCAAAGGAGACAGAGAACCTTGGGGGAAGCCTTAAGAGACAAATTAATGTGGTCTGTTCAAGAGACACAATTGGAGATGGCAGAGTAGGGATTGAGAGAAAAAGATGCAGTCGTGTATAGCAAATAAACAGCTGCTTTCCTAGTTCTTTGTCTCTTCCTCTATATTCCATGTTTCTCTGTCCCCATAAGGCAACTTGAAAGACGATGGGAAGAGAAGCATAAGACTGAGATCTAGGGGAAAGGCAGCAGGGCTTGAGAGAACGCACAGAGATTCTGGAAAGGCGGCTGAGGAGAGATCTGGCAGTAGAGGAAAGTTGGGAGATGTCACTACTGAGAACTAAAACTTGGCAATAGAAGGGCTTGTAACAGTCAGGAATGCAGAGCAAGGGTCACTGCCTTTTCCATCAGTCTTGATAGTTATGTCCAACTTGGAGCTTGGGTTTGCCTCTTCCATTCCTTCCCCCCTCTATTTTCTTTTTTTTTTTCTTTTGAAGAAGTAGACACTTTCTGCTTTTCTTTATTAGCTCTTTGTTAGAACTGGAAACAATGTAGTCCTAGTTGGAACCAACATCTGAAATGTTTATTTTTCACTTGTGAATTGTGGTAAGCAATTTCTCTTTTTTTAATCTTCTCTTAATTAAGACAACCTTTTGTTTTTGAACTCTTTTTTTAGATGTTATGCAAACAATATTTGCTGTACATGGTATATACATATTATCTCTTGAGTAGGGATTCTGCTATGGAGCACGTGCACCTTTTGATTCTTGTTTCCCTTGTTGATGCCGCCTTCTTATATTCACTAGATCCCTTCTGCAGTTTACAGTCATTTTTTTTTTTTTAAGAGTCTGCTTCTGATGATAGTGTAGTTCTTTAACCCTTTCAAAACTGGAGTGTCCTGGGCTGATACTGAGAGATGCAAACTGCTTTTAATTCATACTAATATCAGCTTGGAAGTTAAGTCTTAAGCGTATCCAGTCTTTGCAAAAGGCTTGATTTAGAAAATCTTGTGGACCGAAGTCCTATGTCTGTGAACAGGCACAGTCTGGGGACAAAACCCGTGGTGTCCTGTTCTCCCTGCTGTTTCTCGGCAGGGTGCTTCAACCCTCAGTGTAAGGATCATCTGAGACAGCAGTGAGGTGGTTTAGTCGTGCACAACCCTGTTCTGGTCTGATTTTGACAGAGGACTCGAATACTGAAGACTTTTGTGTGCAATGGGCCCCTCTTGTCTGTCAGGAGCTGATGTGCTGTCACCCACCTGTGTGCCTTGACTTCAGTCACTTTAACTACAGGCAGTAGTAATTCACTCAGTGCATGCTGTGCTCCTGTAAATCAGTTGTTGCTGACTGCTTGCTGCTTTGTCACTCTACAACTGAACTAAAAAGTTAGGGAAACCAGCATGTGAGCTATAGCTGCAGTGGGGGATGACTTTAAATTAGGGTGAAGGGCTGTCAAGTGACAAGCATATTGCTTCTGTTGGCTTTTTCTGGTTTTGGCATATGAGTAAATAGAAACTTGAGCTTCTGTTTTTCTTAGTTCCCATCACTTTCTCCAGTAACACAGAAACACCATCACAACTTTTTTAGCTGTTTCATGATTTCTTTGTAATTCTTCCTGTTGTAATACTTTAGTAAGATGACCGGTGAGGTGATTAATACTAATATTTGAGCTGACAGACGCAGACTATTATATCATATGATAGACCTACAGTCCTTTTGGAAACACGTGTTATGAAATGCTAGTCCCTGTTACAGTCATCTTTTGACTCTTCAATGCTTATCATTCAGCTATGAATAAAAACTGTTTAAAAACTGAGCAGCTAGCAAGTTACCAATACCGAAAGGAATGTGATAGTTTTTGATTGAAATTGCTAGCGCTAGCAAGTTCTGAGAGATACTGTGTATTCTCTGTACAGTGCAGAATACGGTTGTCTTTATTGTCCACGGTACCTCGGACTCCCATTTTATGGCACCCTCTTACGGCCCTGGTCACAGGAATATTGTACCTTTCAGGAGACACCAGGAGGCTGAGATAATGATCACTCCTGGTGTTACAGGTCTGAGTTGTTTTCTGGGAAGCAGGGGTGTTAATCCAGCTGCCCTGGTTGAACTTCAGTTGGGATTATCTTGTCTATTTCTATTTCACCTGTAGTTTCATCTGGATGCTATGCTCTTTGTTAGCCCCTCTCCTGAAATGTTGACATTTTATGCTGAGATGCAGCTGCCCTGTTTCACTGAGGGTTTAGCTTTGTGGTACTTCAATATCCAAAGCTAATGATATACAAAACTGAGTTTGAACTCATTTGAAAGAAAACTTTTGTAAAATGAGGGCTTGCCAGGGTATGTTAGCCTGCTTATGCAGCACATACTACATATTTTATGTATAGATATCAGTAAACTAATACAAAAGAAAAGTAGCACCATCAGCATTCAGTGTTCTAAACAGTGTTGATAAACTCAAGATGGTACAGAGGCTCCGATTACTTAAGAGATGGTGTGTGCTTTGTCAGTTCAGCATAAGCTGCCTAACTTTGATGTCTTTATGATAGTGGTATAGTCAGAGAATTAAAGAATTCACTGCACTAATCTTTTGTAATGCAGTAGAGGGAAAGATTGCAGAGCTAGAGATGGGGCATGGAGAAGAAAGGAAGGCCGGAGGATGGATTTCACAGAGCGAATGTAACATGCATGCATAGTAGTTTTTCTTTTTTTTTTTCCAGTGGGTGGTAGATGGTGGGAAAATGCAATAGCTGCTTTTCTGAATCGGAATTACCCCGTCAGCTGGCTTGTCCGAGACGTAAGTGCACAGAGTTATTTCCTCATATTTCACAGTGACGTCTTACAAACTCCCAGTAAATTTCATGTTTTAACTTCTAGTTTCACAGAAAATTCAATAAATTGATAAGTAAAAGCATATCATAAGAGGGGACAGGTATCGTCCCCAAATCATCAGTGATGTATATGAGAGGCAATTCCAGTCCCTCAGGGGGGCAATTATTAATCAATGCCAAAAGTCTTTCAGAAGCTGTGCAAAGACTTCCTTCCCAGGGAGTATTTCGGGTAGCTGTGACTTGTAATTCAACAAATCGAGGTGGCTACACTCTTAGATGGTTAGTGTCTGACCTAGTGGTTATGTTACACTGTTTGGTATGTTACCATATTAAAAATGCAGAGCTCACTGGTGAGTGGCAGGAGTCAGACTGGTATTTTGTATAGCACTTTTGATGAATATTGTGTTAGGGTACTACTAAGATAAAACAGGTCTGCTGCTTCTCAGATTCATGAATTACAGTAAACGTGAATGATATGGTTTGTAGGTAAACTCCCTGCAGAACTGGAATGTCCACTGGAGACTTTATTTGTATTTTTTGAGTTTGATATGTGACTTGAGGCTGTGACTCGAAACTTCTAGCTGCACTGTTGCTGTCAGAAATAATCGATTGTTCTGCAGGGCTTTCCATGTCCTTCTGAACAATTCAGTTAGATGCATGTTCTCCATATTTAGGGGGTTTTTTTTGTGGCCCTATGCCTGAAAATAGTAGCTTCATTGGCTGTGGTGGAACTGTCAGTTTATGCTAAGTTAGTCACCTGGTTATGGCAGGAGAAGACGGGCTTGCTGTAAGCAACGTCTCTGCCTTATTCACCATTGGTACCCAAGTCCTCTTAAACCACTGGCAAGACAAAGATGTGGAGGGGGTTTTTCCCCCCTTGCATCCACTTTGATCTATCCCACTGTTCACACTGAAGGACTTTGAGGATTGAATTTGCAGAGTATGGACATGCCTCTGTCTTCTGAATGGCAGATTTTTCAGCTTTATTCACTTATCAGCATGTACATCCGTGTGTGTGTATGTATATTTACTGTTTAAGTATTTGCAAAGCTGGGATTGAGTTCATTTACTAGTCATAGGCATTTCATGTTCATATGCAAGTCAGTTTGGAAAACTATTTTCACAGAAATATTTTCAAGTAGCACTTTACAGTTAATGGTCACTTTCAAAAAAGCTGGACCTTTTCTTCTTTTTAAGATGTCCCAGTGCTCATTTTTGTGCTTGACTGTGCTCTGTGATCTCCTTTTTTGCATTAGACCCTGAGCAGAGCAGAGGACTTTCAGTCAGCTGTTCTCAGGCTAGCGGCCGTTCCCATCATTGCTGAAGTTTACTATATTGTAGGAGGTGTATCGCCCAAAGAAGGCATGGTCATAACGAGGAACAGAAGAGGGCCAGCAGATCTCTGGCCTCTCGATCCTTTAGGTGGAGCGTAAGTAGAAAAATATGGCTTATCTTGTTTTTTCATATTTCCTCCTGAGTGATAGGCAGGGTTAGTGACACAACTTCATTGATACCCAGGCTCATCTCGTACTAATGCTTACAGCTGGACAGGGGAAGCTTGAAAGGCTCTGAAAGGAACCCCAGTCCCTCCTCTTTGAGAAGGGATCACACCACCTTGTCCGGTTGGGGCAGTCCAGAGGGTCAAGTGTGGAAAAAGGATCTGTATGTCTTTATTTTTTAGCCAGGTTCCAAAGGAGACAAGACTTTAGGGCTTTTCCCATCTGTCTACCAAGCATCGCCCCAGTAAATCTAGCACTTCCAAATTAATTTTGACCCAATGTGGTAGAAAGGTTGAAGGCTCAGAAATAACTGTTCCTATCAATTTTGTGAAATCAGTAGCTTAATATGTGAATGAGATCCTAAATAGTTGCCCTGTGACGAAAAACAGCACTTAGTGACTACAGTCAGCCCGTAAATACTGGCTTGGCAACAGCCAGAGGGCCTCTTGGCTCTGTGTACTCCAAGCCAAATGCTGCGGGCTGCATCGCACGCGTACCCATTATCTTTTCTCTGATCATCTCTTCAAGGTCAGTAGTAGGTTTGTCACTGAAGCCAGCGGGAGTTCAGAGGTAGCTCCTTTTTTGTTTGTGTTTAGTAGTTTATGGAAAAGGGTGCCATGTGTATCAACATAGGATGCTTTGGGCTTGCAAGAGACACCGTGAAGAGGCTTTTGAGGGAGGTTTTTTCCTTTTGGCAATACACAGGTACTGGTTCTTGGCCTTTATTAATTACCTGCTGATTTGCCTCTTGTTTGCTTTTGTTTGTTGTATTATAGGTGGTTTCGTGTGGAGACAAACTATGACCATTGGACTACCCCTCCTCCTTTTGATGATCGAAGGTAAACTTCATTTGGAGCTCTGTGGTGAGATAATGCTTTTATTTTGAAAAAACTTCAACTTGGGTGTTTTCCGAGCAGGTGTTAGCTCCGTGAGCAGGCACCTTGTTAAGTTTCTGTAATGCCGCTCCAAAAGGAACAGATGAGATCAGGAGCAATATTCACATATGCCAGGGGAAAGTCTGTGTGGCATCTCATCTCATAAAAGATGAGGAAATTGCAAGGATAAGGCATGTACCAAAAATTTCTTTATAAAGCAAAGTTTAGTAAAAGTTAAAGGGTTTACATTGACGGTGAAAAAGTATTTTTCTATTCACCGAGGCACTTGCAGACATCATACAATCTTTAGGCTGTGTAGCATACAAGAAGCTGTTGGCAGACTCCCTGTTGGTCTGTACTCAGTGATGGTGTAGTAGAGTAGCTTCAGCAATGTGAGACTAGGTTCAGTCACACAGAACTTTGCATTATTTTAGGCCAAAGCAAGCATTTCAATGTCAAGGCATTTAGTGAGAAATTTTTCACATGGGTGCTTTGTAGCCTTTGGAACACTAAAGTGTATTTGATACTGCATTGTTTTCCTGCAGAACTCCAGCCATCAAGGCTCTCAATGCTACTGGACAGCATAACATTGATTTTTCTACGCTTTTTAAGGTATTTCTTTTAAATTCACATTGTGACTTTGACTTAAAATTCTTTTTCAAAGCAGAGGTGCAGTTGCATTCTTGTTTGGGATTTAAAAGCTGCGCAAGGAAGGCAAGGTGTACTGCACGACCTTGTCTGGAGAGTTTAAGACTGATAAGTTTGTTAAAATGTTTCTCAACTCCCTCGCGTAGGCATTTCTTAATAGTCTGCCAGTCCAAGTGGAAAGTGCAAGAGGTGAATCCCATCACCATCATCTTGGTGCTTCCTCATGTCAAGCACAATTATAAATACTACAGCAGGCAGATCAAGTTAGACATGAGTAATGTTTTCCAGTTAGTGTTGAGAACTTAAACATTGTATATTTCAAAGGGCTTTTTAGAAATATTTTTGTGAAATGGTCTGATGTCTAAAAAAAAAAAAAACCAGCAAGAGAAATCCTCGACTTTGCATTATTCCTTCATCCTACTGCTGTTTCTAAATAGCCTTTTACTTCTCTCTTCATTTACCAAAATGACAACTCTTCAAACTTTCTGTACAGGTGTTGTCAGTGAAGCCAGTCTTAAACAAGTAAGTATTAGATTCAGAGATGTTAATCGGTGCCTCCTGCCATGCTTCAGGCCACTGAAGTCAGTCAGACTTGCTTAGGAATGTGTCTGAATATCTTGTGGTAGCCCAGCTTAGATTTCTGCTTGAGCACGTTGGCACTATGTTTGCAGTTCCACAGCACTCTTCCTCTTTTGTCTGGCACTCTAGCCAAGAAACCACACCTTGTTAGGCTCAGCCTGGTAAGGGGAAGTTCCTTTGCACTACTGAAACAAATGGCTGCCTAGAGGAGCAGCAGGACGTTCCGCCCGGTCGTTTCTGCCTTTCCCTTTTGGAACCTTTAATTTGTGTTAACACTGCAAATGGCTTCCTCTGGAGTTTCTGATGTGGCTCTGCGTGATGTGTAAAAAGGAAACAAAACAGTCAATGGGAACATGGCTTTTAGGTACCATTTACTGGATTTTTAAGATACTTATTTCAGTATACCATTCTTGTTCTGCATTGTTCCACAAATTGCACCTTTGCAGGTTATCCTCTTATGTTATACTTTGATACGGAGCTCAGTGTATTGTCTGGACCGGTCATTCGCATTAGAGCTTGGCAATGGCTTCTTCAAAGTTAATACCAGGACTTCCTCTCCTCTGTCTTTACAAATGTGAGGAAATTTGGAAAGGAGATCATATCTGTGTGATGGCTAAGATTAGCAATATGGTTTTTTTAATTACAGTGATGAAATGGATGCTGAAGTACAGTCCTTTTGCTGTACTAAGTGGGGGAAAAAATACGAATAAGTTGTGCCGGCAGCCTTCACTTTTGTCAGTCTTTCCCACTTTTTCTAACCCTTCTGTACCTAAGCAGAATGTTTGTTTCCACTAAAATTTGTTCCGCTGCTTTGCTAGCTGTGTAAATTAATCTTCTTGCCTTTGGAATGTCACTCACTCTTTGCCTCTTTACTTTTTACCAGTAACACGGTGTATACCACAGTAATGAGCGCTGCATTTCCAGATAAGTACCAGACGTGGATCAGAACTGTGAAGTGAAGAGGCGTAAGTAGCATGCTGGTACTCCTAGCTACTTGTACTTGAATAAAAATTTCAGCTGAAGAGTCACTGAGGGACAAAGCACTGCAGTGGCACTCAGGTGACCTAGTCTAAATTCCTGATTTTGCCCTTGGTTTGCTTATTGACCTTGGGTAAATAGCTTCCCTTGCTGTTTTAGAGATAAGAGTTAAGTATTGGCTTTCTTTGGAAAACACTTGGAGATTATCTTAGGAAAAGTGCTTTATCAGAGAGGTAGGGGTGGGTGTTGTTGAGCCCTAACGGCAGAGGTTCCCTCTGTGACTGTTTTGGCTATTATTTCTGCCAGTCCTGCTACTGCGATATGTTTCACATGTCTCTGGGTGGTTGACTATGGCAGGAAGCCCTGCCAGAGTGAGCTGAATGCCAGCAGGAGGGGTTGGTGCACTTGGCACCACAGAAGATCAAGGTTAACTTGTGACAGCTGTTCACAGGTGACTGACCATTAGCATCCTTTGAGGGTTTTGTCTCATGGACCTGGAGAAGGTCCAAGTGCCTGAACTCACAAGGTGCCTCAGGTGGTGGCTTTAGTGTGGTCACAGAAAGATAGGAAGTTATGTGTATTTCTATTCCAAGAAACTCTGGTTGTGTGGACCTGCCAGGAGCACAAGAAGCTGCATTCCAGCTTATTAAACAAATAAGTTTGTTTAAAAACTTGTTAGTATTATATTTATAGCAGTTATATTGGACATTTGATTTTAGCAAGAGTAATTCCTTTCTTTCAGAGATTCTGAAGAGTTTTTTTTTTTTTCTTTTCGCTCTACACAAACATGTGCTCTCTTATTTATCTCTTTATCTTTTTATTTCAACAGACAAAATCAGTGAAAAGCTGAAGCTTTCCAGGACTGGCATATGCTTTAAAATCAGTCTCACAAGCAGTACAGTTGTTTTGGCTTATTAATTATGTGAACTGTTCAGGAAATAATGACTTGTTAATTGTTTCAAGTGTTGCAGATGATACTGTTAATTAACTGTAATGTAAGGTTAATTGATTTTACTGTAATTACATTGATGTTCTAGCAGATGTTGATGGCTAGAACTTGCTTTTATTATTTTTGGACGGTGTTGTGCAACTTGAATGTACTTATGTGCTGACTAATAAAAAAATTAATATGTTGTGTGGCCAGTAGGTCTGAATATAATTAAATAAAAATATGCAGCTGGTAGCTTGATTTATTTATGTTACTCCTGATGTTATCATGCTTTTCCCTGATCCGAGGGGCTTGTTGTCAGGAGCCTAACAGAGTCAGATGCTATCCCCAGAGAGAGCTGGACGGGGGCAGCGGGCAGCCCAAAGAGCTCTGCAGAGCCCTATTACACTTGCAGAACAGGGTCTCCACAAGCCCTGTACTGTTTAAGCCTTTGTTGAACTGCATCAGTTTGGCCCTCCTGCCCTGACGTGCTCTGTGGGACCTTCCTCAACACAAAAATTACTTGGTTAGTGCAAACGCATATGACTTGCCACAGTCAAAATTCCACCGCAGGCAGTCTCTTTCCTCTTCAGCTGTGGCTCCTGGTGCACAGGCTCTTTGGCTGTTGTTTTTAGTATGCTTTTAGTATGTTTTTAGTATAGCTGTTTAGTCACCTTACAGAATATTTCAGTTTAAAGGGATGTACGAAGGTCACCTAGTCCGAGTGCTTGACCAAAAATGACAGCATGTTCTGAAGAGCATTGTCCACGTGCCTCTTGAACGCTGCCAGGCATGGGCCGTTGACCGCCTCTCTTGGAAGCCTGTTCCAGGGTTTGACCACTGCATGCATACCTGTAGATTATGGTGCTCTATTCATCAGAAATCGGGAGCTGTTTTAGGAGGTGTAATAATACAGGCTTTTCCCCCCAGCTGATGAGAGAAGCATGTGATAGGATAGCAGTGAGGTTAGAAAAGGGATGGGTTTACTTTTATAGAATTGAAAGTTGCCTTCAATAGAAAGTTTACAACTAATTTCTATAGTGTAGAGGAGGGTTTGTTTGTTTGTTTGTTGGGTTGTGCTGCGACTGCATATTAAATTTGGGCACTTCTTGGGAGTGCCCCAGAATTACAGAGGGATTTAAAGAGGCAAGACAGCAGATACCTTCACATAAAGCTTAGAGATCCCATTCTTCACTGGACAAAATTCCCGCTAATGCCAGTGAGAATTTTACGTGGGAGAAGAAGGTATGATGAGTGTGTTAGGTCAGAGCACCGTTTCCCCGATATGTGCAATGTCACCTGCAGTGTGCACCAGTTATGCAAACTGTTCTGATAGAGCTTTCGGGAGCTGTGGGCCCTTTATCTCCTTGCGCTGAGTCTGGCTAAGTGTCATAACCTACTTACCTGCATCCTCTACTTCTGCCTAGATAAATGCGCTGCAAGCTTTGCCTTGACCCAGTTACACAACTGTTGACACCATTGTACAGCCAGGACGATAAATGTGAAAAACAGAGTTCGTTGAGGAAGTTGTAAATAACGGCGGTTACAGTATCTTTTGCGATTTCAGAATGCCATTGCTTTAATTCACAGAGCAGGCACTGACTCCTGATCCCAGGAGGTTTTCTTTATGTAACAGCCACCCACAAGTAAAGACAAAAGGATCCTTACAGGTGTGATTCTGTATAGCCTTCTTGACCTCAGCAGTGTTAGGCTGATTATCTTCTGGCAGTGGTGTGCCCGGGTCCTCAGTGGTATATAAATTTAATCAAATGTATTTGTTTCAATGTGTACAAACAGCTCTGGAGTGTATAATTATTTGCTATCCGTGAATATTCAGGAAACAATTGTCTGCTCTTGTCCTGTTTATGTCTCATCAGCTGCTCAGACCTTGCTCAGGCCCAGCCACAGAGCAGATTATTGAAATGTGTGTGTGTGTGGGGGGGTGTTGAGTTTTAAACAAGAAAAGAAACTAGATTTGAAGAAGTCTAATTTTCTTTTATTTTGCTTTTGTTCTTGTAAATTATTTTCTTTAAAAAGCCTTGTGTTTCATTTGTTTATAAATGTTCAGACATCCTGATTGCAACAAAATAAAGCCTATATGCCAACTTTGCTCTTTTTTTTTGCTAACTGGAAGGATGTGTAACTTTTTGGTCTTAGTTTAATGATGTGCTAAAATTATAAACACTGAGGAAGTGGTAAATGATATGTCTTACAAACTAGATGATTTAATCTGTGAAATATGGTGAGCTGCTTTTGCGTAAGAATTGAAATCTGATGAAAATACAGAGAGGCGGGATTGTTAATACCTTAAATAAAACCATCTTAACAATGCTGGAAAAATTAAAATGTAGTGCTGACTGGTTTTGGAGGGTTTGGGTGTTTTGTGGGATCTTGTTTGTTTTTTTAAGAAAGGAGGATCATTTGTAGTTGTTTGAATTGCTTACTGATCATCCTTCTGTTTGAGATTCCATCTGCTTTGTGTGTCTGCTTTTTAGAGAGCAGGAAGTGAAATAGCTTTTCTGCTTTCTCAAGCCCAGTCAGATTCATGACTTAGAATTGTTAAGTAATTAAATAGAACTAAGTTAAATACATTATCCTTGCTGCTTCCATTTTTTTGTTTCTGCAGTACAGATTCCCTAGCTACAAAGCCCAGAAGATTTTTCAGCCCAATATAGGGAAGGGGTGAAACCTTTAATTCTTCTTTCTCTAGAAGTTTGCATTTAGCAGAAGGCAACTTGAAAGTGTGTAAGAGCTGACTCTTCAGATGAGCGAGGCCAACATACTGTTATTTCTCATTCATAATCCTCTTCAGTAATCCTAATCCATTTCAGAGCTGTAGCTGTTCTTAAGCATCACATGGCAGAGGATTCTTAAGGCTGCTCAAAACAACCGTGCAGTAAATAAATCGCAGGGTCTGCACTTGCTGCAGAACAGCACACGCATTCTATACTGCAGGCGCAGAAAAACATGGCACTTTCTGCTGTGTGCCCAAGGGGGCAGCTTACTTGATTATTTATATTCTGAGGAGGAGTTTCTGAATCTCTAATCAGGCAAATCACTTCAGAGATTATTGATCACTTTGGGTACTAAATAGAAAGAAAAATAAAAAAAGTGGTGAGCCTCTATTGTGTTTGTCTTAATAAACCCAGAAGTTAGAAATTGCTGGCAAGGTAAGTTGCATTTTTCTTTTTATTTCTCTGTAACAACGTTTTGCGTTCCAAAGTAGTTACTCGCACTCGTAGTTTGAGCTGAAATATCCTTTTTATGGGTCAAGCTGTATAAAACTGCATTTGGGAGTTTTCTATCTGAAATTCTCCTTTTTGGTACCACAGTAACTGTGTAGGTGCAGAGGTCAGTGCATGTGTAAAACAAAACAAGCGTCACCATCTTGTTTCCAGCTACGAGATGCACCGAGCCTGATGTACACGTGGGACATACGTAGGTATCTACTCTAGGAGGGGAAGGCAGGATTATCACTTTCCCTAGGGCTAGCTAGCATTTTTATTCTTGGGAGAAGTATTTGAACTTTTTTTTTTTAATTAATCTGTAGCTCTTAAACAAACTGTTGCTGTTTATCTTTTAGCAGAACTTAAAACTTCTGTTTCCCTGTTTTTCAGGTTTTTTTCCTAGTAAACTTTCAGTAAGTCTGCTGTACCCTCTCATTGCCTTCGAGAGTCTGCCCATCTCTTTCTGCAGTTGTCCAAATGTCTATAAAATTGTCAAGTTAGTGGGGGTTCAGTTGTGCACGTGATACGGGAAGTGTGTCATCTTTCCTAGGAGCCCTGTTGTTTTGGAGTTCGCTTTGGTGTTCCTTGCAGGAAGCCGTCGATTCACGTGGGTGGAGCACCAAATTCTGCACAGTCTGTAATGTGGACAAGCTCAGTGATGTGATGGAATGTGTAGGATTTGATTCAAAATGCTGTCACTTGTTTTGGTTTTGAAGGAGTTACAATAATATTTATGGTAAGCCAGGAAATTTATCTAGGCTCTTGTTGTTCTTGTTTTGGGGTGGTTGACGCAAATGGGTTTGTGCAAGTTTTCCTTCAATGAGTT